ATGTGACCAAAGAGAAGCTGTTGCAGAGAAAGTCTAGGTCAAAAACAAACCGAGGGTGGCTCTCACCCACACGTGCTGTGTAACAAAGGTGGGCCAAGAGAGGATTCACCCGCATTTGTAACCCTCAAAACTGTGATTGTGAGAATCAGAGATTCAAGCACCCTGGAGCCCATGGCCTTAGCAACCAGGTTCTTAACCTAGGAGCAAACAACTCTTTTGATCAAGATAGGATGACTCGTTTTCATTCTGAGAGCCTGCAGCTGACAGAAAGAAGATTAGGAGCTACACACAAAAAGCTGTACTCAACTCACCTGCTCCATCTCTGTTCCACAGTGTGGCAAATTAAGGGCAGGAAGTCTGGAGGAGAAAGAAAATGGATAGCAGAATGGTTGTGAAAGAGGAAAAAGGAATCAATAGGGTTTGAGGTCAGTCATAGCCCTTAGGCGCATCCTTGTTCAACTGGGTTTTAGGACCTTCAACGGTGATTAGCTAATTTCCATGAAGGGAAAGAGTTTTACCTGTTTTGTTCCCGGATGTATCCTAAACCTCCCCGGCAGTACCTGGCACACGGCAAACTCTTGATGAATATTTGTCAGGTATATGAATAGAACTGTTTTACTCTGGTTTTGGCTATTTAAATCTTTGAATCATTCCATCTTTGTTTCCATTGGAATAACCAGAAAGGCCCATTGGAAGTATAAATAGCTGCCTGGACCATAGAAGCATTAATAATAGCAAGCAAAATCAAACAAAATCAGGCCAAAAATTTAAGGTACGGCCCTGATTTCCTTACCTACTTCCAAGCTTTAAGACTGAGGCTAGAGATTCTACTCTTTCAGCGCACTTTATAAATTGAGACAAAAGACACAGGTTTTATTTCACAAGCCCTTCTCTAAAAGGGGATGCTCTCTGGGACCAAGGGAGGGGGGCTCAGGAGGCCCCCATCGATTGGGAAGAAAGTTAGTTGAAGGAATAGAGCTCTGAAGCATTTGAAACATCTCTGAACACTGTAACTACAGACCTCTAAAAAGCCCGCGGGATCTTAGGAATAACTGGACACAATAACTGCTTCTCTGACTTTATGCTTCCTCTTTCCTCTTCTTTTTGACAACAGGCTAGCCTTGTCAAAGAGGAAAATCATAAATGAACAGTCTGTTTCTTCATACACTTCCTCTCTTTCAGCCTCACCCTTACTGTATTATCGATTCTCAACCAAAGCCAAATTTCCCCTTACCTCCAGGAGACACTGGGCAATGTCGAGATATTTTTGGTTGTGACAACAAGAGGGGTGGGATACCACTGGCATCTAATGGATTGAGGCCAGGGATGTTACTGAACATTCTACCTTGTACAGGGCAGCCCCCACAACAAAGAATTACCTGACCCAAAATGTCAACAGTGCCGAGGTTGAAATCCTGTTCTCTATTATCTGGTGCTTACTCTGTGCCAGGTGCTGATGTTGAACACTTCTTATATGCCTAATCTCACTTAAATCCTCACAAGATTACTGAGTCCTCACAAGAATCTCTGAAGCGGATCCTGTTATTATCTTCACTTTATAGATAAAGACAACAGAGATTCACCGAGTTTAAGTAACTTGTCCCAAGGTCACAAAGCCCACGAGTGGTAGAGCCTGTCTCCATATCCACATCTACCTGGCTCTGAAGCCACACACGCCTGCCTCTCACAACTTTCACCAAGGGGAATTCAGACAGCCAGGCTTCCACTTTTCAGAGCATTACACTAGCTACAGATACTACCCCCAGAAAGTAAATCCAACCGGGGGCATGTTTAGCTACTTTCATTAGTTTACATATAAAAAGTGACAGCCCTTGTCATAATAATGGGCACATAGTCCTACCTTTATGCCAGGCGTTGTCATAAGGGCTTCACTTCATATGTATTAGCAAAATGGATTCTCCAATCATATGAGGTAGGTACTAATTTTATCCTCATTGTACAGATGAGGAAACGGAGGTCACCAGGCAGCAAGGTGCAGAGGTGGGATCTGATTGCAAGAAGTTCGACTGCAGTTTCTGCAATCCTTCCAAAACCACTGTTCTATTATGCCTAGTACACCTACATAGTTAGGGATATGACCACATAAGCCATTCAGTGGAATGTGACCCTTCCTACTTCACAGCCTATACGTACCTCAAGCACATCAGCAGGAACTAATGTTCGCTCCCTTTGCTATTCTTTGTAGAGCTGCCAAGACCCCAGTAGATCATGATACTCAAAGTATGGAGATCAGAAATAAACTCCTCTCTAGCTTGACTCGCCCCTGAAGGCAAACCAGCATCAACCTCACATACTGCTTTGAAATTCTCTTTCACTGTTTGCATGAAATTTTCTTCTATTAAGTGTGGGATTTGAAAAGGTTTTCAAATAGTTACTACAGTTAGTCTAAATGTAAAAAAGCTAAAAGGAAAACTGTTTGCAATTAGGATTTGCATATTTTCTTTAATGCTGCCTAACATTTGCAATTAAAAGTAGGATGGTATTTTGGATGAAGTAAAATGAAATCCACTTGCCTGATCTTCGACATTTCTTTTAAATATCTCAACTTGTTTTGGAAACCCAAGTAATTAAATACGTAAGCACTTTTTCAGAGAACTTTTTTTTTAATTTAAAAAATCTCACTTATTATGTCTCAAGTGAACTTTATAAAAGCAGGAAGGTTAATTTATGGGTTTTCAAACATGAGTCAGTAGATCTTGTGAATCATTTTTCCTCAGAGATGGCCTTCACGATCTCACAAATTCCGTCAGAAAAACACTCAACTCTTCTCACTTAAAAAAAAAAATGCGTGTTTTACGGGTACCTATATATAACTGCAAATTTACATAAATATATACATCGCCTGCTGCCAATTAGTATGCATTTATGAGCAGTGCCCAATAACCCTGATGATAAGTGAAAGTACATCAGCGATGAGACGTCCCTGGGAAACCAATGGGAATCTCAGCAAGTATTTAACTTAAGAGTAGGTGGAGGAGACTCATTACTGGCCTGGCTTGTTGCCTTGTTCTGTTTGAAACCTTGATTAAAGAAATAACAAACATGGAATGCTAATTAAACTGTTTGACCAATTTCAATAAACAAGCAGTCTAAATTGGGGAGTGAAGAGAGGGGATAAAACACTATGACTGTGTTATTCATTTTCTTATACCAGTTCTTTGATTCCTGCTGTAAGAGTTCATGTCCCCAAAGGCCTCCAGATCAGCAGGGTAGCTGATTCTAGGGTAAAGAAAGAGAGAAAATGTGTCAACTTGGTGAAGCTCGCTACAAGCTACAGCTTGCAGGACTCCCCGAGATCACAGCCCATGATTGCAGCCTGTCCTGCTCACGGACTGTCACCTAGCACGGCATGTTATCGTCGCAAAGAATGTGTTTAAGTATAAATAGTCTTGCCTGGCTCGAGCAAGCAAAACTGTTCCTTTAGTTCAGTGCACACACAGCTTGGAGGCCAGTGTCCTGGGCGTACCAGTTGTATCTTAACATAAAATGAATGTCGGCATATGCCCTAGCATATAATATTGTCTATTAGACAGTGCATAAAGGTCTGCACTGTGTGTACATGCTAAAGCCACATAGAAAACATTACCAAATGAGCCTGCTTTTAGCCCACTGTTTCATACAGTGGTAATTAAGGAGAACTGCTTTTTGATTTGCAACTATTTGCTGTTCTGCGGGAAAAACAGAGCTTAGACCATCTTGTTCCATTTGTTGTTGCCATGCTTAATCTTCTGATTCATGAGGAATTATTACACCCAACACCTATGGGGAGTTTAATTGTTTGGCTCCTACTCCTCTGGCAAAGGTAATTATGGAGGAGGAGGAGGATCTATAGATTAACATTTTTAAAAAGCTTCAGCCAAGAAAAATAAATAAATAAAAGGAGGCACTTTTTTTTTTTTGGTAAAATCTTGTATTGAATAATGTCCAGGGTTGAAACAATGCCAAGACCCAGCTTAAGAGAAAACATCAATACCTAAAAGAGAGGTCAAACCAGGGCCACTCAGACCAGAAGTTTGATCCCCACATACCCCACCTACCCCAGGCATAGTTGTAGATAATTAGGACACATTTTGCACCTGTGGATAAAAATATAAGATGAAGTCGTTTTGTGCATTTTTTAGATCTGTTTTCCATTGCTCTTTAGTGATAAAGCTCCATTTTTCTACAACTCTAGATGAGTAAGAAATCTGTATTTCCTGATCATGTTAAAGGAAGTATAGGGACCAAGGGAAAATGTCCCTTTTGTCCTCTGAAATGTCACTGAAAAGTCAACTAACAAAAGGCAGATTCATTGGAGAAGAGGCATAGAAATTTTTGTACCATGTGTACATAAGAGCCTTTAGAATAAAGACCCACCGATATAGAATACATTTTCCATTTTAATGCTTTCAACAAAGTGTGAAAAGTCAAGTCGAAATATGATTGGACAAAAAGGGCAGAATCTAATGCTAATAGGCTGAGTGGGGAAACCCAGCGAGGATTTGCTGTCTAAATTCTTTTTGTTCTTTCTTCTGGGTATTGGGCAAGATCCCCTCTGGAATGGGAGTCTTATGATCAAACAAGGTAGATCAGAGAATTTTTTATGGTGAGTTTTTACACAGAAAGACATAGGGAAAGCAATATTTTGAGAATTCATGGCTGGTTTTGGGGAAAAGGAGTTCTGGATTCTACTGCCTGCCTTCGGGAAGAGGGATTTTTGTTTCTATGGCTAGCCTCCAGGGAAGAATGGGACTGAGAGACAGGAGGGCAGGAGGGCAGAGAAAAGCTTTTGCTTTGGAGGCAACTTCTGAGGCCTTCATTTTGGCTCATTACTTTCTGAGCCCAAAAAGCAGGAAAGACCTGATATTTCATATTGTATCATTAAACTTTTAGGTGCTGCTAAGTTACGCAGACAGATGGATGAGCATTATAGCAGACACCATCAGCCCCATCCATGTTCTTGGGATGTATTTCAGCAGCAGGTTTCCAGCTGCCAGGATCAACACCTCTGTACCCAAAGACTTTCCGGAACTGTGGCAGACCCTGCTTCCTACAGTGGCAGGCCAGTGACTCTCAGGCGTTGGTAAATATCTACCCAGCTCCCTCACTCTTCAGGAAGGATCATTTGCATGTGTGTTTTTTACCCTTTTCCAGAATTTCGCCACAGGATTAAGCTCCAGTTGCCCACATCAGCAGCAAGCTTAATACCACATCCTGTATTGGCTGCCTTTCCTTCCCTTAATTGCCATTCTGTTCATCTATAAGTCTTCCCTTCATCTGGAATACTTGTCTCAGGATCTTCTTCTGGGGGAACTCAGATAAAGACAGACACCCTCCTTCAAAGACCACAGAATCTGGTGAGAGAAGTGAGAGAGGAGAAGAGATGAAATAGCTAGAATAGTCTTATGGTAAATGTAATTATGTGGGTTCAAGATACCATATGCTAGGAAATGCAGTGCTTTGTTTCTTTGTTTTCGATATCTTGTCCCTAGGCAAGTCTATGTAATTCATTTTTTCAACAAATATTTATTGCATGTCTACCACGTGCCAGGCAATAGAACAGCAGCACACCAAAAAGTTCCAACTTACGTTCTATGTATATATGGAATATAAGTGTTGCAAAACTAAATACAGAAAGGAGGTGAATTAGGCTGTTCAGGCCACAATAACAAGATACCACAGACGGGGTGGTTTAAACAACATAACTTTTTTTCTCACAGTTCTAGAGGCTAGACGTTCAAGATCAAGGTGCCATCGAGGCTACTAATTTCCAGTGAGGCTTCTCTTACTAGCTTGCAGGTGGCCACCTTCTCACTGTGCCATCACAGGGCCTCTTCTCTGTGGAGAGAGGCCTCTCTGCTGTCTCTTCCTCTTCTTATAATGACATTATTCCTATCAGATTAGGACCTTACCTTCATGACTTCATTTACCCTTTATTACTCCCTTACAGTCCCTATCTCTAAATAGTCACACCGGGGTTAGGGTTTCAATCATGATTATGGGGAAGATACGATTCAGTCTGTTACACAAGGTAAAGGCATGGATAGCAACCACAGAAATTAAGCTTATAATCTTCAAACCAGGGAGGAATTTAGTCCTAAAATTTATTCAATATCTGCTTGGAATAGGTGTGGCTGTGCAGTAGTTGACTACTATCTTCATTGTGAATTTTTTTTTTTTTTGAATTGGAGTCTCACTCTGTCGCCCAGACTGGAGTGCGGTGG